GTCTCAAGGACATTACCGACCGGGTCTTGTGGCTAGCTTAGGCCAATTTGTTTATTGGAGCGGATTATTGTTGAAATTATGAACATGCGTTATGTGAGTTTTTGGCTTGCTTATAATTTAATGATGATGATTGTCTGTATTGCCGAGAATACGAGTTAAACATCATTTTCCGAGCCGTTTTGTCTAGTTTACGGAGATTGAGCGCACTTGGTCGGAACATTCGTTGCTACTTGCACAGCAACCGGATGTCCTTGTTAAACTTGAATTTAACATTTAAAAATTGATTGTTGCCAGATGGCTTTGTATGCAAAGAAACTTCGTTCTTTTTTTGCACTGTAGAACTACTTAAGACTGCCATTTGAAACATTTGAAAGACAAAATCTAGAGACAATTGAGTATCAGTCGGAATCATTCCGGCCCAAAAAAGTTCTGGGATCATGTTATTTATTGGGGGGTCGGATTTTCAAAAATTTCGAAAGTTTTGTCGACCTTTTTTTAAGTCGACCGCAGGCACAATTTTGAAAAACAGGCCAAAAAAGGCGTTTTTAGGCACTTTTTAGAAAAATTTTACCAAAATAATATCCGTTTTTTTTTGACGCGCGCTCCCCACTCAAAGTAAGTATATATTGGCACCAAAGGCGCCCTTAGAAAAATTTTAGGGTACGTCACCAATTATGGATATCTCAAAATAGTACAAAGGGGGGACCCTTTGGGTCGGCAGGGGGTCAAATCACTGAAGGGAAGCGTCCGCCCACCCCCCCTCCCCCTAAATCCGCCCCTGGTTGACGTAATTTCAATTCGCATTCCTAGTGATTGACGACTTTATTTCAACCAAACCTTGTTAAGTACCCCCCATCCCCGCAGTAGGGGGGGATAGTTAGCAGTTAACATGATCCAAGTTCTGAAACGAAACAAAAGTTAAATAATGAAACCATCAAAGACAGAACCAGACAAACGAGAAGGCGACAGTTTTTTCAAACTGGAACACTTTCAGTTTGAAGTAGAACAGGCCTTGGTCGGATCCGAACCTAGGGCCTTTTCCGTTCAAGATCAAGGTTCCCAGAGAAGAAAAAAAAGTTTGAACTTCTTATCAGTATCGAGGGTGTTGGTAACATTTCTTAATTGCACTGATAACTTTTCTTAATTGCAGTGTAACAGCAGCAATCCAGTAGTTTAGTTTGTTTTCAAAAGTTTGAGCAAGTCTTTTTAAACGTTTTTAAATTTTTTACGCGCTTTGAGCACGTGAATAGGGAACATTTCGAATCCATTAATTCGATTGATTTTGTTTGGAAAGTTTTTAACTAAAATTATTTTTCCGATTTAATAAAGATTCAATTCGTCGTTAATAATTCGTATTGCTTGACGATCAATAATTTATCTGCATTCACTATAATAATCTCAAAAAACTACTTTGTTTGGAGCGAGAGACAGATATGTATTGAATGTTCAATTATTTGATTAGCTCCTCCGCGGCTGTTGCAGGAAACTCCTCCTCAGCTATTATTTAAAAGCTACTGGTATGAAAGTTGGTTTTTGTTCAAATAAAATTTCATTTTCAACTTTTCATTTTCAAAATAATTTTTCATTTTCAAAATAATTTTAGAAGTATATTAACTTGAAACTTGATAAAGCTCGGAACAATGATTTTTTATTTTTTCCGTTAACCAAGCTCATCTATAATGTAAAATTGCTTCAGAAAAAACACCAGAGCGTTTTGACTGCTCTTTCTATTTTTTCAGTGCGAAGTTGGCAAAACTTGGCAATGTTCCCACAAGTTTCAGCGTATTACTTGGCAATGCTCCCACAATCATTGCCAAGTAATACTGCATAGAATGCGGTGGGTATAATGGGACCAACTTGCTGTTTACGTCAACTAAAAGTAGAAAGATTGATTGAGTGCTGATCAATCGGCCAATTTTTGTTGAACTAATTGAGATAAACAAACAGATCGTATTTTATTCTCAAAATCTTGCACGAATGGCGATTTTTAAACTGCCGTAAATTGCGACGAAAGATGAGGAACTTATCATTATGGTAAGGCGTTCACTTTCAGTTCGTCAGATCGTGTAATCGGCGCCCCTGCCATTGCAATTGATAGTGTGTGAGGACGAACTTAAACTTGAACTCTAGCTTCAAGTATACCACAGCCTGATCAATTTCGGCTGCAATAGTGGTACTACGTGAAAGTTCTAGACGCAAAAGAAACGGCCTTGAGTCGCTAAAAAAAGAGCTTTGCTCAACAAAATAGCGCAGTTTGGAATGCGGGGAAATAACAGAAACGGTCTATGCTTAGACAGTCTGGATGGCCTTTCCTGTGCGATGTGCAGAAACGACAATTATTATTAATTATGATTCACGTTTTTAATTCGATGTTTTCAATGCAATAAGCTTCGTGCTTTAATAAGCTTCAACACTTTAAATCAGTTCTTTTCGGTTGTCCTTCTTATGCTCTAAATGAATATAATTGAAGCCAAAGCATTACGAGGCCAAACTGTGCATTTTGTGAAATGTAAGCAGCTTCCGCATCAGGAAACCTCCCTTTCTTCTTCGTCTGTTCTTTCAATTTTTTTTAATCGCTCTGACCAAAGAATTCCATGTTCAAAAATTTTCCGCATTGAGCGCCCATGGATTCTAGTCGATTATAATGGATTTTCAAGACAAAAATTATCCATTATAAACCTTTAAAAAAAGAAAATTCAGATCGCAAAATCGATTATTTTGCCATTATAATCGATTATTTTTGAAAATTAATAATTCGTTATAATCCAATAATTTTGGCACTAAAATCGGTTAATTTTGCCAATATAATCCATTATAATCGCTTAATCAATTATAATCCATTTTTTAAAAAAAAACAAAATTCAACTATGTTTGCAAAAATTTTGCAAATTTTGCCAGAAATTGACAAATTGTATGCCATGTCTTTTCCTAAAGGCCATTTTCACCTCATTTTTCCCCTATCCCAAACAAAGGGGGGTTTAAAATGGGGGGTCTCAATCATTAACCACCTTACCCTCAATTCTACCAGTGAACATTCCCCCTCCTCCTGTTCAAAGGGGGCGAATGGTGGTTGCGATAAAACTGGGAGCAAGTGGGGATTAAATGGGGGTGGTATGTAATTAGAGGGGGGGGGCTGAATTAGGGGGAGGGGGTTTCAATCATTCCCACCGTTCAAACCTTACCCCAATGTTGTGATTAAAAAACAGTAAAATGCGACGAATTGAAAAATTAGACACAAAAAAATGTAAATTTTAATGTAAAATAAAACATTTTATGGAACGTCATACGTAGCAACTTAATTTAAAAAAATTGTAAATTTTATGAAACAGTTCTCAAAAACTCCATTTTAATCGATTATAATTGATTCTAATAGATTTTATTGGCCCAAAAACTATTTGGATTATAATCCATTTATAATGGATTATAATAAAAAAACGGATTGTACTGGCATAAAAAATATTAGTTAAAAAGATTTAGTTATTTTAAAAAGATATTGTCTATTATGACAATATAAATGACTTTGATTCCTGGGCCATTGGTGCGGTTTGTCTGTGGAATCCAGGAACATATAAACAAAAAATTGTGCGCTTTTCCGGTGTTTAGTTTGGTAATGATTTTAGAAGCAAAAAAGTAAATGTAGTTTTCATAATCCTTGTTTACAACTCTAGTACTCAGAGTAGTAAACTCTACAGATATGCAAGAAGCAAAATGAAAAACCGTAGGCAACACATTTGGGTCGTTGTTCCGACCATTTAAAACTTTTTATTCGGAATTAGTGTTTTTTCCACGCAAAAGCAGTTACCACAAATATTTATGGAAATGATATATCATATAAAAGCTTTTTCAGTCGTGAGTCGAACAACGTTTAAAATTTATCAAAAAATTGTCCCAATATCGAGAAAAATATTTTTAACGTTTTTGATTTTCAGTCTAAATTAGAGCAAATAATGCGAGCGAGAAGTATTACGATAGCCAGTTTTTGCTTATTTTATGCCGTGAAAACATCATTTTACTCAATTAAAGTAGTTTTTGGAATGTTTCTGTAACACCATTTGGGATTTAAAACGTTCAAAAATTAATAAAAATTCTGCAAAAGAAATTGAAAACACTTTATGATTTTTTCTTTTTATTTTTTATTGTCTAATTTGCTTTTTTCATTAATACTGTCGATATTTCTAATTTCCAGTTTTTCGATGAGATCGTTTTATCACATAAAAAAAAGCGACACTAATTTGAAAAAACTACTTTTTAAATTATGTTAGACGATGGTCGGATCACTCTGTGCTACTTGCACAGTAACCGGCTATCCTTGTTTTTATAAGAATTTTTATGGAGAAAATTTCTACATAAAATTGTTTCAATTTGTTTTTGTTTATAGTTTCATTCCAGATTCGTAATAAAATCCATTTTCATTCCTTTAAGCTCATTTTGGCTCCATTTTTAATCATTTGAAGAGTATAAATGACAAAAAATCCTCAGATTGAATAGCAAACACAAAAACTTTTTGAAATTCTTTATTTTTAATATTCTAGTTTTATTTTTAAAAAGTAGCAAAAAAATTCAAGGCTGTGTACTGATACGAGGAACCATATTAAGATTTTACAGTGATCTTTTTTTTCTGAATCATTTTATGAAGGAGTGCTGAGAGCTAAAAAAAAACATTTACCATCTTCAACTAATGCAACACAGTTGATAGTTGTGCAAAACGTCAATCTCATCATTCGAAAGCTGATATTGTTGCCAGTTTTTGTATAATCGTCATAGGAAACTGGGATAATTGTGATTAATAGCTGGATATTTTTCGTAATTGAGCTCATTTTTTCTCCAAGCTCAGTTTGAGCTTTCCGACTGATTAGCATGACAAGTGGTATCAGATTGAGTCATGGGGGTTGATCAGGAAACTTTCAAAATGTCAAGCCTCAAAAAGTAACTGCGAATACAGTAGGATGCGAGTATAAAAGAGCTCAACGGAAACTTGAGAAATCATTTTCCATATACCGGATAGTTTAGATAACTTCTCAAACTTGATTTTGAAACATATCAGAGAAAACTGATTTTTGAAGTATTGTCATAAAGCTGAGTTGCAGAGTGCAGAGCTCCGAGCTGATATGAAATACTTTTGGTTTGCGGCACTTGTTGCCGTAAGCATAGCAGACAGGTAATTAGAATGATAATCAAATAGCGTCTATTTTTGGTTAATTTGTTGTATTTTTTTCTATGTTTTCAGTGTTTGGGCGCTGGATGATTGCTTTGGTAAGCACACATATATTGTGTTTTTTTTTATTTGTCAAAAAAGGCAAAAAGTGTATGATGTTGTTTTGTGTTGCAGGAAATTCCTCCGCGGCTATCTCGACTGATGAGTTCAACACTCTTCTTCAGGACTGGTCGCGTGAGTTGAGCACACCAATGCTTATTCTTCGAAGAAAAAAAACTACACTGTATTTGTTAAGTGAACAGTAAATAATTATTACACGTTTTGAGGGTTATCAGCTTACTCACCTATTTTTGAATTTAAAAAATTCAAGGAAAGCAAACAGTTGTAAAACCAATCTGAATGCGTAAAAAATGCCGTGTATATTTAATTCACATAGTAGCTCACCCTCTAATCCTTTTAAAAGCATAGTTTGATTTTTAAGAAAAGCGACGAACGAATTTCAGGTGAGTTGTTTGTGGAGCCGGAGAGTGAGCGTCGCTTTGCCTCCTGTGTGGCCTACAGCACCTCCCACTACCGCACCTTCGACGGCCTCTTCTACACGTTCGAGGGCCAGTGCACCTACTCCCTCCTCACCACTCCCGGTCTGGCTATCGAGATAGACAACTCACAGTGCGACGAACAGAACTGCAACAGGGTATGCTAGAATAGTTTATTTAGGAGAGTAATATTATACAGACAGGTAAACAATAAACCGCATGTACAAATCAAACCCACCAAGGATCATGCAAAAAGCTATGCAGCTTATCGAAGCATGACCCTGAAAAAACCTATGACAGAAGTTGCGAGATAAGATCCGACTTGATGATTCAAAAAAACTAAATCTAGAAGATCTCCATTATGTTTAAGAAACAATGAAAACAATTTTTTGAAATACCCATTTAGTTGATGCTCAGTTAATTGGTTTAGGTTATCTGGTATCAGCTCGTTTGACACATTTTTCCATGAACGCTGCATTATTTGTGTTCTTGTTTTTATGCTTGGTAAAGTTTTTGCCACAGAGGCCCGAGTAACCCGACGATTATTTAGAGATTCCAAGTTAAATGTTTCAAGGGGAGTTTTACCACGAAGTTGATTAAAATTTTCTTTGAATATTTGTCTGAAATATAAGTCAAAAACGGTGTCAATCTCAAACGAATGTAGGATATATGAGGCATGCTCAAATTTTCTCTTGAAACAAATAGTTTTAAAAATACGTTTTTGCATCACAAATATTTTTTCTAATAGTCTTTTTGATGTTGCATAAAATGCAATTAAACCGTAGGAAATGAGTGGTTTTGCATAGCAGTTATAAAATTTAACCAGCACATTTTTCGAGAAATAGTTTCTACCCTTGAATAGTAAACCGTTAAGTTTAGCTAATTTACCACAAACATTATTAATATGATTTTCAAATTTGATTCTGTTGTCCATTTGAATTCCTAAATACCTAAAATCAGAAACCTCGGCGAGTACTTTAATACCAAAAGAAAATTTTTCATTTAAGTTATCCCGTCCAAACTTCATTATTTTGCACTTCTTTTGATTTATGAGCAGTTTGTTATTATTGCACCAATTACATATTTTATTCAATTCTGTCTGGAATTCCGTTCTGGATGCAAATTTTTGAGCATCAACTACCGTTGTATCATCTGCAAATAATGTTAACTTAACGTTGCTACGCCCGGGCACCGCTCTATTAGCATGTGCGTCGATTAGCATGTCCATGTAGAAGCGTGCAGTTTACTCAATTGCTTTTGCAAGATTTGTTTATTCAAATAGTGTGCATTTTGTTGAATGTTTAATTGGGCATAAAAAATTTTCGATTCCGACCCCCCAAAACTTAGAAGGAAATTAAAACATAAAATAAAAAACGTTCGACTGAATAAACACTTAATTATAAAAAAAATTACGCATGCTAACAGGCAGGGGCGGATTTAGATGGGGAAGGGGGGTACCTTTTAAGAAATCAATTTTTTGCCGACCGACCCTGAAATTTTTCTAAAGGCGCCTTAGGCGCCAATAAATACTAACTTTGAGGGGGAGCCGCGCCAAAAAAACCCGATTTTTTTTGTCAAAAATTTTCAAAAAGTGCCTAAAAACTGCTTTTTTGACCTGTTTTTTCAAAAATTAGTCTGCGGGCCAAAACAGGGACCTTTTAGTGTTTTAGAAGAGCTCGGAAAATCAATTTGGTCGACCTAAAAAAAAAAGGTCGTCAAAATTTTCGAAAAATTTTTGAAAATCCGCCCCCCAACCTCGAAAAAATCCTAGATCCGCCCCTGCTAACAGGCACACATTCTTATCGCTACGCCCCCACTGCGCCTTCCTCTAATAAATGCTATCTGGAACTGAATTCAATCGAATATTTTAAACCGCAAAATATTTTTTTCCGAAACGTCTGAGCCACTTTTAAATTTTTTGAAAAAGGATGGCAAATACAACCATGGAACGTAAAAGAGCAATGGATATGAGTATTTTAAAACTAAAAACTATTGGGAGTTGTAAGGTATTTTGTTTTAATTTTCAACGACAACTGTTTCATTGGAGACCGACATGATCAATATAGTTTAGTTCCTATATGAATTTTGTTTCAGAAAGTGTACATCACTTTGCAAGGGGGCACCTTCTACCAGTACAGAATAGAGACCAACTACACCCACGCAGAGATCAAGACGCCCGCAACATCACTGGTTTGTGCACAGCTAACAGCTAAAACAGCTTTGATGATAGCATGGTGGGAGCAAAAGTTTTTGGAGGGGAATTATTCGAGAATGACCGATTATTCTTACAAATTTTGGGAGTTTTGTCTACAATTAATCATGATTCAAAGTTTTTATTTGTTTCTAAAAGTTTTCACTTTAGGTATATGCCTTCTCCCGAATGAGAAAAAAAAACATAATAAGTTCACATATTAACGCTTTTTCAAAATAATGACCTATCTGTGTTGATAGCTTCCGGCGCAGCTGTTGAGTCTGGACTTGACTAACACTGCCTCTGCCTCTCTCCCCGGAATTGGCGCTGACCCCAGCCGACACTCGCTTTCCGTGGCAGGTGACAATGTATACATCAAACTGGGAGATGCCAGAGTCAAACTGGGACCGGTCAGTATCTGCAGTTTTTTCACTAATATGATTAATATTTAGATACAATTAACAGTTCAACCATGGCAGTTGAATAAGTTATAAGTCGAAGTATTAAAAAAATTTGCCACCCAGTAGCTTACAGATAGGTATAGTGGTAATCTTCATGTCAATATTTGATTCTAGAAACTCCGAAACGCTCTGAAAAACACAAAAAACTGAAAATTTCACTATTTCGAGTGACTTATGGACTTAGCAGGTTCTTGTGTTGGTTTTCATTGACATTACTGGGCAAAAGAGTGGTCAATCAAGCTCTAGAAACTTGAGCAGTGGAATCCAAAACAGAGAAAAAAAATCGAGAAGCCGTTAATTGCTCTTATGAAGCCGTTGAGAAGATCGTCGAGAAGCCTCATTTGGTTTGATCTTGTAAACTCAGTGATATTGTTCATCAGGACGGAACAGTGGTGGTGACATTGGAGACTGAGGCTTATTTCAACGACCAGAGTGTGAGAGGCATGTGTGGCTCGTTCGACGACAACCGAGAGAACGACTTCAAGAACAACGAGGACGAGTATGTCGCACATGCAGCCGCATTCGCCAACTCATGGAAGATCACAGACTACGAGACTGTGGTTAGTCAGTTTCATCTGTCATTTTCAACTGGTTCTAATCATGTTTATTAGTTAAGCGCTTTAGTTTGTTCTTTTCTTGGTATAAATACAAAACATTCCCGTTAAAAGTGAGAAAATTAGCCATCTAATTCTTCGAAGTTCTCAAAAAAAATCAAGAATATTTTAGGAACATATTTTAAAAACTTTTAGGCAAAGTATTGGCTTTCTTCTTTAAAATGCCTATTTAATTGGACAAGTCCAGTTTGTTTTATGTGTGATAATTCTGTTCATACTTTTTATGAGGGAGCAAGAGCTGAGCTCGTAGTAGGCTTAAGGTATTAATTCACTGAACTTTTACTGAATTTCAGCCCGGCACTTGCAAGGACGCGGAAGAGTCTGTGCACCCGTGTATGGGGGTGTCTGATGAACAGAGAGGAGGCGCAGTGCAGACTTGTTCGGCCATGCAGCACGGAACATTCGAGCCGTACAAGGACGACGTGAGTATCCATCCTATATTTATCACAAACACTGCACTATTCTACTTGGATATGAAAAAGGTGACATCTTTAGTTAGCTTTCCGGTTGCACAACTGCACAATTTTTTGAACAGTGATTAACTGCTCGGTCTTATCCAGTGCGGCAGGCACAGAAAATTTGGATTAAAAAAGATGCCTTAAAATAGTACCTAAATGGCCGTTGAAAAAGATTACCAAAGGGGGTGTCTTTGGAAAAACTTGGTAACGAGAACTGAAGGGTGGTCTACACCACCACCTCGCTCCTGGTCTCTACCATTTGTGTGTTCGACTGTGAGTAGTATGGAGTGGAGATGTACAAGTTGGACTGTGTGTATGACTACTGCAAGGCCCTGCAGACTAAGTTGGACGAGTGTGTGGCAGTCTGTGACTCATTCATGATGTTCGCCGAGCAGTGCAATGCCAGACCAGACGGACCCCTGGTCGAGTGGAGGTCAGAGGATTTCTGTCGTGAGTAGCCACTTCAGACAGTCAGAAACAGAAAGTGTCGCCCTTTTCTGGCCCAATGTTGATTTTGACCATAATTATGACAGCCTTCCGAAGCAATGCTTTAAAAGTGCTGTGCTTTTTAAACTTCTTTTCGAAGCTCTTACTCTATGGAATTGAACATGCGTCACTTTGGACTTATAGTGTTTACTTTCGGGGATGTCCAACTGTCTCGTTGTAGCCAAAACGTGTCCCAACCCAAACATGGAGTATTTGGAGTGTGGTCCCTCCTGTTGCCACACGTGCAACTTCGCCGGCAGACCCCTCGATGACTCATGCTACGAAGAGTGCACTCCCGGCTGCTTCTGCAAGGAGGGCTTCTTCATGGGCGAGAACATGGAGTGTGTGGAGAGACAGACCTGTCCCTGTGTCCACAATGACGTCGAATACGACTATGGACAGAAGATTAATGTTGATGACTGCAATGACTGGTGACTTTCTTTTTCATTTGACCACGATATACTTTTTTGGGAAAAAGAAATGATAAACAGCTGAAAACTTTTCGTTTGATATGTAACGGTTTAAGGCGATCTGTCACATCGGTACATAGTGTCCGCTATTATATGATTGCGGGTTCAATTCGCACCTGCGCTGCAGTTTACATGGTGTGCTCTTGTAAGATAGCCGTAGCTTAGTTAACCTAAAATAATTAACCTCTGCCTGGTTAACTAGAAAAGAAACTGGAATGGATTGTTTCATTTTCATAAGCACAAACCTTTCCTGTATAGAACCACCTCGGAGATAGTTTTTAGGCGATGCATTACTTTTACAGAATTCTTTTTAAGCGCAGCATAGTCAACTTAAGATAAGTTAAGGAATATTTTTGTGATTGTTTCAATCCTTTTAGCACTTGTGACGGAGGTCAGTGGAACTGCACAGACTACAAGTGTGATGGGGAGTGTCACGTGACTGGACATGGCCATTTCAGGACATTCGATGGAGTCCACTACTTGTTCCCAGAGAACTGCGAGTATATCCTCGCTGAGGTAAGGAAATATAACAGAGGTTCCAATTTTTGAGTTTATATAATGGCAAAACCTGACTGATATACAAATCACTTAATAACTAGAAATTGAAAAAACTCTGCCTTCAACTAACTCTGATGAATGAAAACATAGCGAAGTGTCTCAAAAAAGATCTTTTGGTTCTTTATTTTTTAGACGATGGACTCTCCCGTGCAGGCGAACAAAGACTTCATAGTGAGAATGAAGAGTATAGATTGTGTGAGTGGCCACCAGGGCTGTGCCAAACAGATCTCCATCAAGATCAAGGGCGAACAGAGGGGACAGCAGAGCATCATCCTCACCCCTGACACAGTCACTATTGATGACGTCCTGCTCACCGGAACCTCGAAGACGTAAGCATATCAACATCAAAAACTACTTTGCAAGAATAGTTTTAGCTTGTGCTCCAAAAAAAAAATCATTTTCGAGATTATTGCTTTTTTTTTCAACGAAGTCGCGAAAATTTTTCAGTAATTTTTTCATTGAATTTTTCTTTCGGCTCACAACTCTCGACTCTTTAGGACTGACGGAGTGACAGTGGCTGAGATGACAACCAACTACGTGGGAGTGTTCAAACCAGGATTCGCTCTGCACTACAACAGACACGACTCTCGCATAGCTCTCAAACTAGCCCCCAATGTGTACAGTCAAGACGTAAGAATCCATATGCTGCCTCGTTCTATGATCAAATTCGCCGCAAAATAGTTTGCCAACTTTTGGGTCAATGACGAAATTTACAAAAAAATGCTTAAGATAAAAACACCAAATATGGAAATCAAAACAAACTTACTGTTTCATTGGTTTGTAAAATTAAAATTCCAGAAAGTATTGCATTCCACCGTTTACAATACTAGGTTTCAATTCGCGAAATTTAACCTGTTCACTTCTCGCATACAAACTAAGTTAAATTGGTTTTTATTTATTTACCCCTGAGTATTTATTTTCCTTGTAATTAATTTTCACAGGTACATGGTCTCTGCGGCTATTATGACTATAACCCCTCGAATGACATGAGGACGAGGAACAATGTGGTGGAGGGGGACATCCTCACTTTCGCCCACTCCTGGATCTCAACTGCAGCTGCTGCCTCGTGCACCCAAATGAATGCCATACACGCCGACATGTGTTCCACATACGCGTCAACCCGGTAAGCAAGTCAATCTAGAACATTCTCATAATCAGAACAAGGATAGCCGGTTACTGTGCAAGTAGTACAGAATGTTCCGACCATAGTTTTTAAAAAGCTTTTTTTTCAAGTTAGTGTAGTTTTTTCTTCGTGGTGTGATAAAGGGATGTGACGTAAAAGTATAATTTTGGCATACTCGAAAATCGTAGTAAAATAGGCTATTTGGACCATTTTGTTTAAGAAAAAGGGCTAGAAAACAAAAAAATCAAAAAAAAATTAAAGTTTCAACATTTTTTTAATTCAAACTTTTTGCAGAAACCTTTTGAATTTTTCTGAAGTTTTTGCTTATTGAAATGGAGCTAAAAACTCCAAAATTTTTTTTAACTTGCTTAAAGTTTTTAGGCCTTTAATTAGGCATAATTAAGCTGATGTAAGCCTGCTTGCTCGCTTAATTCGCTCGAAATAAGACGAAAAACCAAAAATTTCAAACTGTTTTTTTTTAAAACAGGGAAACTTTTTTTGGAAACTTTTAATTATGGTTCGAACTACAACTGAAAGGGCTTTCATGTGATATATCACTCAACCCAGTCCAATGATTATTTGTGGTACTTGATTTTGCGTGGAAACAAAAAGAAAAAATCTAAAACACACCTGAATTTGAATACTAAGTTCCTCCCCATTTTCTAAATGATCGGAACAAAAATAATGGTCAATAGAAAATCGGGCTACTTTTATTATAACACATGACTATTAGGAATGATTTTTCTTTAAAAGTAAATGATTCACACGATTTGCGAGAGTTTAAACTCCGATATTTGTAAGTGATGATTCAATCATTGCAGACGAGTCAAAGCCGAAGCATACTGTGAGTTCCTCGAAACGGGCGACTCATTCGCCGAGTGTCGAAAGATCATCTCGCCTGAGCCCTACAAAAAGCAGTGCATGTACGACATCTGTGCCGCCAACCCCACTAATGTCATCACATCATGCAGTGCCATGGCCGCCTATGCAGATGCATGTCATCGCTATTTGAACGAGAGTGGCCTCGCGTTGCTGGATGGGTGGACTGCGGAGGTCGAGACTGCGGAAATTACCGCTTGTTGTAAGGCCATAATTTTTTAAATACACAAACTTTGCGTAAATTTAACTTCGATCTGTGTCAACAAAGGCCCATATTTGAGTTGACGTCCTCATCTATTTCCTCAATTTAAAAGTTCGTATAACTTATTTTACATCTAATTCTCAGGATTTTTTATTACTTGAATAAATACAAATATCCACTTGCTGTAGTTTGAGCGAGTTAGTTTTCATTTTAACTGCTGTTGAGCCTTAAGAGTGCACTAATAACTCCTGTACTTCTTAGACCCCTCGTGTCCCGTTGGCTCTCAGTACACAGAATGTGCTCCTGCATGTGGACTCTCCTGTCAGGATGTCTCCATCGCCTCACTAGAGAGACAGACCTGTGCCTCCAAGTGCATGTCTGGCTGTGGGTGTGGACAAGGCATGCTGTATGATGAGCAGACTGAGACATGTATCCAGGCAGATAGTTGTCCCTGCGATTTCCCTGCTCATTCTGGCTCATATTCGGAGGGCGAGTCACACACCGAGGGATGTCTCAACTGGTGAGTAAAAAATTTAAATTTCAAAACAAAAACAATTTCTTTATCAAATTTCCCTCTTCTTGTTTGGGTGTTTTTGAAAAACCAAAAAAACTTTTCTTTCCGTTTTTTAAGAAATACGTGTTTTAATGGCAGTTTTTCCTGCAGACTTTTTTATTATCACAAGTCTCGAAAAAATAAATATATGGTTCGTTTTTCCTATGAGCTCCAATTTAGGAAGACATAAAGAAGTAATTTTATTTGAGATTACAGAAAAAAATTTCGAGTTCTACTTTTATTTTCAAACTGCGTCTGTGCATTTTAGCACCTGTTCGTCTGGTACTTGGAAGTGTGAGGTGGAAGATATGTGTGACAAGAGCTGTCCCAATGGACTAGTGTTCAAGGAGGATGTGCCCCCCTGCATCCCCACTTGCGAGACTCACTTCGCTGAAGTACCCGAGGAGTGCCCCTACGGTCAGTGAGATAAGCTGCGAGGTTTCAATGTCAAATTGATGATAACCTGAAATTGCCAACAGTTTCACATTTTAAAAACGGTTTTTTTCCATCTGTACAAACTAAACTGTCATTATATTCGGGTTGTAACGGTTCTAAAACAGTTGCTCTAAAAACGGCTCTAAAACGCTCAACCGGTAACAGTTGCTTCACAATAATCAAAACGAACTACGTTGGAAACCTAAAACGCATTTTTCTCAAATTGGGTTAAGGCAAAAAATGAGGAGAACAAAAGTTGCTTAGAAATTCACCAGAATTATCAAGATGCACTTTATTTTGACAAATTTTAGAACCCAATTTTAGACTTCCTCTAAAACTATTTCGAGGTGTGTAAGACGCCCCCCTCAGGGATTCGAAAAATGGTCTCCCCTTTGTACTAATTTAAGATATCCATTTCTGGCTGACGGACCCTTCGACGCCAATTTTTACTAGTTTGAGGGCGCCTTTTTTGGCCTGTTTTTTCAAAATTTTGCCTGCGTTGCAGAAAACTTGGCCAAACAGGGTCTAATGTGCTTAGGGAGAGCTCAAAAAATTAATTTAGTCAACCTAAAAAAAAGGTTCAAAAATTTTTTCAAATATTAATCTTTCAAATCTATAGCAGTTTTTTCTAAAAGTTAACTCCCTCTTTTTGAAGTAGCAAAGAAGATTAAACTTGGTTTCCTTATGTTCTGTTGTCATTGCTGTAGTTGCCTTTTGGAGGAAGATGTTTAAATATCGCACAAGCTTGGAATTATTTGCATACAGAAAACATTGGCTTATGAAAATAGCGGGCGCATCAAAATTTCAGGTAAAATTTTCAGCAGGGGAAAAACAATTGCTGCAGTCCACTGTTGGTATCATCCGCTCGAATAATTTACCAACACTCTGCTTGTTTACTGATGAACTGGTCAAGGTGAACATTGGACGGTAGTTTTGTAGGATTTTTCCAATACAATGATGAAACTTGAGCTTTTTAAAGAAACGATGTCACTGAATGAGCAACAGGAGCAAAGTGTCGTTTTGATTTCAGTAGAAGTATTTTCATTTGTTTCAACCAGGTCACTGAAAGTGACTGGAAAGAACCATGGCCTAGAGTCCACTTTACCAGCAAAATTTGACTGAGTCCAAGAAAGCTCGTAGGAAGTCAAGTGTGGTTTCATAATAAAGCCTTATTGGTTGTGATTGAGAAACTAAAAAAATATAAGAGTTGTCTCTGTGTCTAGAAATGCTGGCCTGCATTTGTTTCGTTTATCAGTTGTTTTCTTCTACAATTACTACTCTTTCTTTGTTTTTTCGCCTAACGCAATCACCCTTTCTAGAAAAAAATAACAATTGCAGTTTTTTATTTAAAAATACTTCATGCTTCTGATTTTTTCCTTATTCACCTTGGTCGGTTCGATATGAGCTATACTACTTGCGAAGCAACTGGCTATATTTTTTCATAATTTTAACTATTAAGAGTCTTTCTCAACTTCACTTATACAACTTATAAAAAAAGGCTGTTTTGTTCGTTCAGGATCAATCGCTGGACTGTGCACATGTCCCGCTGGGAAGGTGCTAAAGGACGAGACAGACAACCACTGCATCTCCCCCAACAAGTGTCCGTGCCAACATGGGGGCAGATGGTACGACGCAGGAGAGCAGATTGCCCAGGACTGCAACACCTGCACATGCACGGGTAAGACAAACAACCTCCCCGCAGTGAAAAAACTGGATATAAATCTTTTATCTATAGAAAATATACAGATTTTAGATCTGTTGTTATCTTGTATAGTAAAAATTCGACGTAGTTTTAAAAATCAATTATAATGCATTTTGTAAGGCAAAAGTCTTCTCTATACCTTCATTACATAATCATTGCCAAAACACTCTAAAACTGTTTTTTTTCTGTATCAAATTTTATGCATACTATAAACAGATTATATACACATTATCTGCAAATTATCTACGGAATATATACTGATTATAAACAGACTATATATAGATTGTATACAGATTATATACAGACTATATACATATTATATACAGATTATATACAGATTTTCTCAACCTTCCCGCCAATCAGATAGAATGAGTATATTGAATTAAAAGTATAATGTAGACTTTTGATTGAAATTTTTATTGAGGAAAATTTTTCCTGATTGCAAATTTTTTGTTGAACTTTTTAGGATCCCTATAGTTTTTAGGCAATATAATCAATTTGATACAGATTTATACAGACTATATACAGATTTTCTGCAGATTATCTACAAATTATCTACAGATTATCTCCAGGTTTTATTGTATAAAGATCACATACTGACTATATCAAAATGGTTGTACATAAATCGATTTTATACTCACGTTAATCTTTTGATTTTTCTGTATATAATCGATTCACATCAATTTTTGTCTCTGCGGGTCCCTTATGACAGAAATTAACAAATATTTAATGCACTCACTTTATTCTTGATTTGTGAACCTATAAACGTTTCAAGTCTTAGACATCCAAAGACTTCAAAACTAATGAAAAAAAACTCAAGAGGAAAACATAAACACGATTTGATTTAACAGTTCCGTATAAACAGATCCACGCGGAATGTACAAAGCCGATTGCTCTTAAAAAAAAACATTTAAAAAATTCATCGAATGGCTGAAAAAAATTCGATGATCTGATTGCTTCTCAGGTCGATACTGGAGTTGCACTGAGTTCCCATGTCACTCTACCTGTTCTGCGACTGGCAGTGCCCACTACCGGACATTCGACGGGGAGGCCTACCAGTTCCACGGGGACTGCAGCTACATCCTAGTTGAAGACACAGTCGACAACCGATTCAAAGTCGAGGTCAGTTCTGGCTCATTGTTTTGCTAAATGTGTAATGCTTTGTTTATCTCTTCTGCTTACGTATCAGGTTGGCATCAATGATCGAAAAAATCATCAGCGTGAAAGCTTAACTAAAATATCGGCCTTTTGTATTCATTTCGTAAAACCTTCATTTTTGATGTTAGGGTTACACTGAACCCAAAAATGTACATCAGGTTTTGACGTTCTTTTCCAAAACAATGTTGCCAAAATAAGGCTAGAAAATACATTTAAAAACTTGCTGCTTCATTCAGGCCAAGAATGTACCATGTGGCTCGAACAACATCGCCTGCACCAAAGAGGTCAAGATCTATCTGAATACTACAGTGATTACTCTGTTGAGAGGCAACGACGTCGAAGTGAATGCACGAAGGGTTGGGAAGGATAACTTGGGGGGACTGTACGAGCCCCGGATGGGTATCCGGATAGACGAGCCAGGGGCGTTCACTGTGGTCAAGGTGGACAGGCCAGATGGGAGTAACTTCAGTGTCGCCTGGGATGGAGGTAATAGCACAATTACATTGGTTTAAACTTCTAATGGATGTACAAACTCTGCTTTTTTCAAAGTTAAAAATTGTTTTAAGATAAAGGTTTAACTGCAGAGTTGTAGTTTCACATGGAAGAAACGCTTTTGACTCAAACTTTAACATTTATAGCATATTAAGTTGACTATTGTAATTTTTTTGTAATAATTGATAACCAGTGATATTTAGGAGAAAAAAACATTACATTTGTCAATTAAATGTCGCTTTCTCTTTCAGTCATGTCCGTGTATGTGAGACTGCACCCCACCCTCAGTGGCCAGGTGGCTGGTCTGTGTGGGAACTACAATGGGGACTCGGGGGATGACTTCCGCAGCTCCGTCAATGTGATCGAGACCAACCCCGAGAACTTTGCCGACAGCTGGAAGACAGATGGCAACTGTGTCAAGAGGACAAACCTGCAGCTGAATGAGGTAAAAATTTCACCGTTTTGATTTTCCTTTAAGAGTATGATATAATATTCGGCGTTTCAAAATTTAAAGATCTAAGTTTTGATGTTATAATTTATGAATATTAGACAAAACGTTTGAAAAAAGGTTAAAACGTTGAATACAAACTGTTTAGGACTTCTAGATGTGGTATCAACAACAATTTTATCATGATTGAAGTCAGTAATTTCAGTAAGTTAGCTGCATTTTAACAAAATTGTTTTAATTTCTGCAGCACGACAGCGTTCGATCTTCTTGGGCTGAGAAGCAGTGTGGGAAACTACATGACGACGACATCTTCGGCCAGTGCCACGAGAAGATCAACCCCGACTCCTACTACGACGAGTGTGTGGCCGACTCCGTGTTCTGCGACCAGGGAGGGGACTGCGAGTGCATGTGTACGGCCATCGCACGCTACGCCAGACAGTGCTGCAACGAACACAACATATGTGCATCCTGGAGGGACGAGGACTTCTGTCGTGAGTAGTTGTTCACGCTTAGTTTTGCAATGAACAACAAAATACCAAACTAAGTGACATTGGATTTATGAATAGTTCTAAATGTCAAAGACGACAAAGGCGCAAAATTGGACATACGGGGTAGTACCCACATGTATACGAAGTCGGTAGCTTGGATTGTTAATAAAGGTTGTTAGCATGTTTCCTAATTATTGCCTTAATTACGAGTGAAAAAAAAGGTCTTACCTCAGTTCGTTGGTTATTACATACAATGTCTAAGTTTTTTACTCGTACTCGATTTTTATTCGTCTGTGAGTCGGCTGGGCGACGAGTCGCATCAGGTGACAAGTCGTAAGAAATAGATTGGCAAGTAGCGACCATTTGCTCCGCTGCGCTTACATTCGGAACTTAATCTACTGTTACGAATTGTCGCCTGTTGCGAACACTAAAAGTCGTCTGATATGAATTGTTGCCTCACGTTGTATTCATGATTTAACTAAGTGTTTGGGAATCTTATTTTGGTTGATAGTTTGTTCTTTGCGTAAACAGTTAGTATTAAACTGATCATCCGTTACGCCAGTAGCAGATATAGGGGAAGGGGGGAATCGGCAACCAGGTTGACAAAATTTTGAATTTTTTGAGATATGCCTTCTCCCTTGAGACAATCCTAGATCGGCCCCTGCGCTGCGCTATTTACTCTCTAAATACATGCGAGTAGTTCGTTGTTCAATCATGCATGCTTTTCACCTACTGTTACATAACATGATTACATAACTGTTCATTTGATTAACAGCATACTCGTGTGGGACTTGTGCGGATGAAGACATCTGGGTGCAGTATGACAACATCTCCTACCCTCTGGAACACACCTGCAGACAGTACAGGGAGTGTGGACCCGCATGTCCCCTCACTTGCCAGAACTACGCCGCTCAGTCGGCCGAAGACTGCGCCGACAACAGGTCAGTCAGGTTCACTCAAGGTCATGCTTAGGTCATGCATGGTTTAGGGTCAGTTCTTTCAGTGAAGCATTCTTTTAGTAACTTCTTTCAGTGATGCATTCTTTTAGTGAAGCATTGAATCCTTACTGACCGCACATAAAACTTCATTGGATATCGCGCGTTATTTACAATTGAACATTTTCTCTCAGGCACAAAAGATTTAATTGAAAAAATATCCAGCAGAAAAATATATTTATTGGTCGGATTTTTATCACTTTTTCCTCCATTTTGTATCACTTTTTCTGAGTGCATAGGTGTTACGAGGGATGTTTCTGCAAAGCTGGCTACATCTGGGACCCCTACTCGGAGACATGTGTGTTGCCTGAAGGGTGTCCCTGTGCGTATAAGGCACCCGGAAACAGTGACCTCAAACTAGTCGGCAGAGGATTCACTTTCTACTCCGACAAGTGCAGCAAATGGTAAATTAAACTTAAACTTCTTAAAATGGGTTTCAAAGTTGCCTTTCACGAAAATGAAAAAAAAACACGATTTTATGAACTTGGACCTTTAAATCGAACGTGAAGCTTTGTCTGAACCTATCCCATAGGTAATTGGTGCATAAGTAGTCTACTTCAAGTTGCAAGGGTCGAATTGCATAAGATTGGGGGCAAACGATGTTAATCAAATAAGCATTTATTGGTTATAACTTTTTTCGTTGACTAAAAATTGTTCAGTAAAATTGAGCATATTTTTGCTAAAAGGAACCATTTGATTGTTTAAAAGGATCCTTCTTAATATCAATTGTACGAGAGAAAATAATGACTTTTTTCCGTGTAGCACGTGTCATGGCATGGGCGAGATCAGATGTCGCAATGACGACGACAACCCGGACTGTGGATGTGACGCTGCATTCGAGATCCCCTGTCAGCAGACGAGAGGACAGCACAACCACACCATCTGTGTGTCCAATCTGTACGTGTGTGACGGCAACCAGGACTGCGAGTATGGGGAGGACGAGGAGGCATGTGGTAAGGGATGAGACATCAGAATACTTTTTCCGCAATAACTTTTGTTTTCAATACCTTCTGAATACTTTTTCGGCAATTACAACGTTATTGAGCTTTTCACTAAACAAAAAGTGAATTCTGAATGATCGGAACAATATGTTTTTTTAGTTATTTTTTTCACGTATTTTATCATGCGTGTGTATTTTTTTTGTAGAGATAGAGTGTGAGCACAGGTGTGATGATTCGGACATGTTCAGCGCGTGCTACACCTCGGACGACATCTGTGATGGAGAGTGTGACTGCAGGAAGAGGGGAGAGAACTACTGTCTGGATGAGATCAACTGCGAACACGAGTGCGACCCAAACACTCACTTCGTCTGTCCAAGCACCAATCTCTGCATTCCAGAACCATGGGTACGTTATTTTAATATCTCCTCTGATGATGGGAACTTCATTTAAACAAGGCAGATGGGATGCCACTTAACTTATATTGCTTCCTAAATCTCAGATGAATCAATTTAATAGAAAAGCAAATTGCTCAACATGTTCCGAAGACCGTCTCGACTGCAAAAAATTGTTTAGCAAACGAAATTTTCTTTAACTTTTTTTTGCAAAATAGTTAAAGGTAAACGTAGGCAAAATAGCCAGAAAAAACTTTTCAAAATCTCTTTCAGAAGAATTACACGCACCCGAAGAAAAGTTCTCCCTTAACAGTAGTAGAAACAATAACCTTATGAAATCAAAAAAATAAATATGAAACCTAACAAATGTCGGAATTTTGTGTTTGTCATACAAAACAACGTACAGGATAAAATTTAATCGAAGAATTTTTTCAATTCAACAAATTATAATGAAAAAGGAAGATAAAACAGGGCCAAAACAGAAATCAAGGTATGATCATCATATTTTAACAAAAAAGCTTTTTTAACAGTTTTCAACAAATTAGGCCTTTGCTGGTCCAATATGTTTTCAGATTGATGACTCCCAGCTCATAAAAAATTTCAGTCCGCGTATTTTTAAGTTGAACTGTTTCCACTCAATTTTTTGGACTTGTTTCGTCTCATCCTCTTCCAATTGAGAAATTGTTCAATTGTTCGTTGAAAAATTGTCTCTTGAGATTTTATGTTGAATTCCAATTTTTGCAAGCATTCACAATTCGGAGGTCGTTTAAGCGGTCAAAATTGTTTCGCTGTTTAATTCCAGTTTTGTGTATTGAAAATACTTGAGCATGATAGATTGACGTTTTGGGTATGAAAATGCTTGTGTAGGTAATTGATAGCTGTTGTTCAAACTACTTTTCGCAAATTTTTCAAACTTTGAGGAACCAGTGTGAGGAGCAAAAACACAGAACATTTTTCTGGTCAGTTTTTGCCGGGCAGCAGACTTTTGATATTGCATGAATTTCCGAACTAACTGAACTAATTTAAATTTGCCTGAGTAAAAGAAAATAGCAATCAAACTGCTGAGCAGCAGTCAGTTCGATTTTCATAGCCGCCAGTTTCATAATTTCATAGCCGCCAGTTTTTTTGAATTAGAAAGCTGTTTGAACTGATTTTTTTAAACTAAAGATACGACAGTTTCTGCATTTTCTGCGGCAGAAATTTTGTTAAAGATTTTTTGGAGATAATTTTTTCATAAAAATTTTGAAAAGTTGTATTGTGTCTCTATCAATGGCATTCTGCAGTTCTTGGCGGAATTTTTCTCGTGCAATTTTTTTCCCATTTCGGTTCATGGTTCTGATTTTTTTCGTCAAGAATATTAGATTTACATTGGTAGATAAATGGGAAGCACAATTGTTTCTTCCGAGCTAAATAATTTTGCCCGAGCAAAAAATATATATTTTTTTGAGTAATGATTGCTATTGTTTTTGAAACAAAAGCCATTAAAACTAAGTTTATCCTTTTGCCGGGCCTACTTAGTTCAAAGTTTTTCATATCTGATACGCGTCCAGACAATTGGGCCAAAGACAATTCAGCCAAAAGTATGCAGACAATTCAGCCAGAGACAATTCAGCCAATAATAGTGACCGCCGCAGTCGCGCCAACGTGTTGCGAGCTTGCCAGCAGAGGGTAGCATACAAAATGCTTTTTGTTTAAACCATTGAAAATGGGCAGGAACTTTGTTTTCCACGCAAAATCAGGTACCAGGTCGAGTGATATATCATAATAAGGTTCTTCTAGTCATTATGCAAAATTTTTTTAAAAACTTTCAAAAAGTTTTCCTCGTGTCGAAAAAAACCTGTTTGAATTTTTTGCTTTTGCGTCTGTTTTCGAGCGAGTAAAGCGATCGAGTAACATTTCTATAAATGAAAATTAGAAGTTTAGGCTTGCCAATTACTCTATGGGTTTTCTTCTATGAGAATTGCCTGGGTTGCTGAGTTATGACACCAAAAACATGACACTGAAAAAATATATAATAAATTATAGAAAAACAGCTTGTCATAGAATTCCAAATTATGGAAAAGGTTTATCAAATTTTTCTTTAAAAAAGAAGAAAACTAGTCAAGCCATTTTTATATATCTTGTCTCTGTGAGTTTGTATGGCCAGCGTTTTTCATTCTAATGAAATTGTATGACAAGCATTTTTTGTCAGCCCGGTACATTTTGTTCATTTTTTAAGCGTTCAGGGTCCATTTTTTTCATGCAGGATCTCGAAAAAACTGGAGAAATATCAATTTTTGGATCCTGCTATACAAAAATGGGTTCTGAACGTTTAACAAGTTAATCCCGGGTTTACAAAAAATGCTTTTGAATATACTTTTGAATATAGATGAGAATTGATCAACGAATCGAAATTAGCACCCATCAAGAAAATAAATAACAATTATGACTCCAAATGATGTTCTTGACAAAAAATAGCTAGATTAGTCGAATTTAGTCGAAAGACATTTTGGGCATGCTGGTCAAAATTGGGATTTTTGTTTGAGCTATTTGAAACATATAGTCAAAAACTCGACCCTGGCTCCCATTCCTGACCATCTCCTTCTCACGTTAGTTATTTGCGATGCTAGTTATCTCCTTCTCCGATTTGTGATGTTAAAAATTTTCACGTGGACATGAAAATTTAGCGACTTGTTTTTTTCTGGGTCGCACAATGTCACATTGAAGTTTTTTCTGTTGTGCAAAGTGGTTATTCAAAGTTGCGATGAAATTGTTTGGTCGCTCAAAATCGCGACTTATCTTTTTTTTGGGTCGCGCAAAGTCGCGTCAAGTCTTTTTAGTCGCACGAATTCGCGTCTTTTTTTGGGTAGCGCAAAATCGCACCGAGATTTTTTACGATTTCGGGAAACGAACTGAAAAGTTTCTAGCATAAAAGCGGTGCAACTTAATTCTACTTTTTGTACTTTATTGTTCTGACCTTTCGAATAATTGGTAGGAAATTTGTATTCGGATGTGTTTTAGTTTTTTCATTTTTTTTCACGCAAAATCAGGTACCAAAAATAATCATTGGAATGCGTCTAATGAAGTATCATATTAAAGCCCTTTCAGTTGTGATTCGAACTACCCGCACTGAAGTTTCTCGGATAAAAATAGATTATATTGAGAAAATGTTGCCGAAAATATTGCCATTATAATCGATTATGTGTAACCAATTTAAGCAACATTTTCTATTATAATAGAAAGAAAATAGATTATTTTCATCAAGAATATATTGCCTTGTAATTCCACTAAAATGTAATTTATCTCAACATAATCTCAATAAAATCTATTTTTTTGCCCTGAAATCGCCATGAAATCGCAATAAAATCGATTGTTTTTGTCATAAAATTGCAATAAAATCTATTGTTTTTGCCATAAAATTGCAAAAAATCTATTGTTTCCGCCATAAAACTGCCATAAAAGCGCAACAAAAACTATTGCTATCGCCATAAAATTGCAATAAAATCGATTATGTTGTCAAAAAATTTAATTGTATTGTCAGAAAAACTAATTTTTATCTTCTTAGAAGCGTGCTATATGAAAACTCAAAGCAAAAGTTGAATTCAAACCAAACGACACAACTCATGAAAATCATCAAAATGAACAAGGTTTTCGGCACAAAAATATGCAACAAAAATACAAAATATCATCATTGTAAATCAGATTTTGTGCAAAAACATATGTAAAAATTCAAGATAAACCAGATTTGAGCTCAAAAATATGCAATGAAATCATATAAATCATTATTGTAACCATTATCATTAATCATTATCAGTATCCCAGATTGATCAAGCTCTAAAAACATATTCAATTATCTTGGGTCAACACAGAACAACATCACACGAAAAAATTACAAGTCATTTTAAAATACTAAAATTACTAATATTTTTACCCACACAACCAGCGAGTTCTGGAGGAGAAACGCACAATAAAAAGGGACCTGCTTCCATTCTTTTGGGAAACCACCGGGACATTTCTTACTCAGTTCAGCTAGCAAAACTTCAGGACTCTGATCCTGCAGATGTCCCATGTCAAAGTAATCGAAAATATAACTGTAACGGGATTGTTCGTGATTGTCATCTGTTTGTAGCGAATCCTCTGTATATCCCTCGAACATCGAGTTTAACCATGATTTGACTCCCCCATTACAATACGATGCAAATTGAACAAATTTACGAAGTCTTTTTTGTTGAGTTAAGTCATCTTTCATACCTGCCGCTTATCACGCCCATTCAAATCAAATTTATTATTTCGAGTTCTGATGGGATTGAGAATGATGTAAGAACAAGACACGTAACAAAACTTGAAATTCAGTTCGAAGTTTGCTTAAAAGCTTGTTTTGCTGTTAAAAAACCGTATATTTCCATGCTCAGGCAACTAAGAATTTGAAAAAGTTGAGGTCGCACATTTTTTTGTTTTCGATCGAATTTTTATATCAATTTTGTTTATATTATAATCTATTATAATCTATTATAATTCCAACATAATCGTCATAAAAATAAAGCTTTTTAATGGATTGTTTTCTCCATATAATCGATTATTTTACTCTGCAACCACAAAATCACCAGATAATTGATTATTAAAAGAATAATTTTTGGTTCGACCACAAAATCGCCAGATAATAGATAATAATCGGAGAAACTTCGGTGCGGGTACCTTAAAAAATTTTCAAAAATGTTTCCCAGTATCAAGAAAAACAGGTTTAACATTTAAAATTTTTAGTCTAAATTCGAGCAAATAAATCGAGCGAGCAGGTTTACTTTTAGTTTACATAAAAAAGCTTTTTTGGGTCTACTTAACAATTGCCACCCCTATTAATAAAAGCTGTAAACTTCTAAATTTTGCTGCAATCTGATTGGTCGAAAATGCGTTATATTAATCTACTTAACAATCCCCCCCTTTCGTAAAAGGGGGGGGGGGGGTAATTGATAAGTAGATCCACTTTGTTAATAGCTTCTAATAGCTTAGTTTGAGCCTAAAAAACTTAATTTAACTCAAGTAAAATTAGTTTTTTGAGATTTTTAGCACCTTTTTGGAATCAAAAATTCAAAATACTGCAAAAAGTTGAAATTTTTTCTTTTCGTTTTCCGAGTGTTTTAAGGGATCTACTTAACAATCTCTCCCTATTGTTAATTAGATCCTTTTTAAGCCTATGGTCAGAACATTGTGTGCTATCTACACAGCAACCGGCTATCCTTGTTATTTTTTAATTTGAACAGAATATCTGACCAGGGCAAAGAACTGAACGCAACCGGAAGGGGCTTTCATTCTAACGCAAGTCGTGCTTCTATCTGATCGCATTATATGTTATACGAGTGTTTAGACAAGATACTATACAGTGTTGAATTTGGTCTAGTGCATAGTATATGATCTCACTACAATATATAATGTAGTCTAGTTGAAAATTGGATCGGCAAAATTACGTGCAGTTGACTAAATAGAGCAATATTTGTAGTGGAATTAGCGAATGATTTATTCGCTTTCTTAGTATGAATTTATTTTGATAATAGAAAATGTAATTATATTTAAAAACTTCATGTATTATTGATTATACCTCCAGAGCCATGCAACAATCTTGAACTCGTTCACAAACGTCTATGATGATAGACGCAATGACTAACTAATTGTTGTGATAAACTTTAATTTATAACAGTAGTGTACGTAGGTGTTACGCTGCTCAACAGAGGCTGAACTAAGAAACAAAAAAACTTCAAAATCGTATGAAAATTAAAACCCTCGAAAATGCCGTTCTTAGGCGTTTATTGAAAGCACGGGTCATGCGAACAATCTTCCCCATAAAATTGAATGGCAATGGCAATTTGAAGTCATAAGGCCTGCATGGGATCCTGTTAACTATCCCCCCCCCCCCCCCCCTATGGTACCTTGTAACGAATCTCCCCCCCCACCCCCCTGTAAAGAAAGAATTGAACAGTTACCCGGGTTGACAAAAAATGTTTGTCATACAATTTTCATATATGAAAAAAATGCTTATCATACTCTTTCATACAATTTCATAGAGTAAAAGTGTATGTATGAAAATAGCAAAATAAGCATTTTTTTTTTCATTTATGAAATTGTATGATAAGCATTTTTTCCATACTATGAAATTGTATGATAAGCATTTTTCCATAAATGAAAATTCAAAAAATTTTGTTTCGAAATTTCGTGTTTCAACCGAAACACTAACCAAGGATTTTTTGTCATGAGAAAACCCAGAGTGTAACTGGCAGTTACCACGCAGATAAACTGCATTTGGTGGTTTTAGCCATAAAAGATCATTTTAACATTTTCACATGGAATTTTATCCCAAAAAAGAAAAGTTTTTTGAATATGGCTAGATAATTTTAAGCTTGAAAATTATGTTTGAGAAAAAAGGCCTGTTTTTTTTACAAATTTATTTTTATCTTAGCAAATGAAACAAAAGATAATAATCGTGTTTACAATAGATATACTTATTTAAATCTATTTAAAGTTACCCAGACACGTTTTTTGGTGATTTTTGAAAATTTCATTTTTTCTATGACGAAATGACTATTTTATAATTTTCATACATGATAATTGTATGATAAGCATTTTTTCCATAGACTTCATGAATCAAACTGTATGATAAGCATTTTTCTTCTATGGACGTCAACCCGGCTAAGCATATACGAATTTTGTTCCTTGAAACTATTCCCCCCTATTGCAATGGGGGGAGGGAATAGTTTACAAGAACCCCTGTATATACTATGTTCAAATCTGATTGGCTGAAAAACATTACCTTTATATAACGATGTGAAAAATCTTCCTTCTTAATTGCCTTTAATAATTTTTTGTCTTCGGTCGGTCGAAAATGAAAGTAAAATTGTACTCAAAGGGGATCGACCTGTGGGTGGCCGGGGGTTCGAACCACATGCTCCGCCACTGGTATTACAGGCTATATTGTTTTAAATTGGATAGGGCTCAGAATTGGACTCTGCCATGATGACCTTGCTCTGTGAAGTAGATAGAACTAGAGAACCGTTGTTCCCTATGTATAAAAAACTGCTAAAGTAAAATGTTATCAGGTGTGCGATGGTGAGATCGACTGTGAGGTGACGGCGGAGGAGTTGTCTGGGATGACAGGGGTCGTCGTACCCTTCCTGCCGGAGGATGGCTCCCCCTGGAATGACGAGATGAACTGCTACTGTGAAGACCCCTCCATGTTCCAGTGCGAGAACAACCCCAGACACTGTCTCAACATCACCAAGGTATGCTGAACTGCTCCGAGTATTTTGAGTGCCGTTGACTCTCCTACAAAAAAACTAGCTTATCTTAAAATTTCTTATAAGATAAGTAGAAAATTTCCCTTTATGCACGATCTTCTGGCAACTTTTTGAACATTGCTTTTTATAGTTTATTGTTTAAGAAGTCAGTAAACTACAAAAAATGCAAATGCTTCAAATCCATTTTAGAGGGATTAAAAATGGGACCTCTTTAACTTTCCCTCCATGGTGCCTAGTAACGAATCCCCGCACCTCTATTTTGTTTGCAAAAGGGGAAAAGTCAAAAAGATCCAAAATAATGTTAAGAAAAGTTGTGCAATCGGAGCTTTTTCCCAGAAAAAAATGGAACTCTTTAAGACCATTTATCCACGGGGGAAAGGACCAACACACGAGCTGTACAGCTCATCACGGCGAACCGCTGTTGTGCCCCTGCTTAAGAACTACATGCAATTTTTTTGGTTATTTTTCTGGGCTGGGTAATATTGCTTCACCCTCAAGCAACGAGCACGGATCATGGTGGGCCTCGAAAATCCGACCTTTCGATTGAGAGGCGGAGATGTAACCACTTCACCACCGCTCTTAAATTTGAATGGATATTTGCAAAGACATCGTAGAGTCATCAAAAAACATTCGGCGTGTTTAAAATCAAGTTTAAACAAGCTAGAGTATAAAAAAAAGTTCTAGGACTTGACGCCTATCTTTCAATCAATCTAATAAAATAGTTGTAAAGATAGGAACTGTTTCCTACAAAAAAGTTAGGTGTACAAAAAACTTGGTGTATTGCCTCAAAACGTCAGAGATGAACAAAAAGCTGATCCGACAAACTAATACACTTTTTAGCTCTGTGTTGTTTGGTGTTTCCGGCAAAATAAGTGTTTTTGAGTTAAAAAAGGGTGGGGGCGGGAATCATGATATGGGTCACAGGACCTCTACTCCATGACTTCTACTCCATGTGCAGAACTGCCCGTTAGCATAATACCAAATACCACTAACAAAGTTGTTTTTTATCTACTGAGTATTTTGGTACTTTACTTTTTTGTTTTGAGATACGGAGGAAATAAAGGATATTTTCATATATTGTTCTTTATTCTAAACCTCGTAGTTGTTGTGATATGTTGTGAATTATAAAAATCAATTTGTTCTCATACCATAAGTTAATCTGAACAAGGACACTACAAACGTCACGAGTGTTTTGTTGTTCAACTTTCACTTGGGGGTGTAGGTGTGTGATGGACATGACGACTGTGGCGACATGTCTGATGAGCCCCCCTTCGTGGACAGGAACCTCTACTCCATGTGCAGAACTGTCCGTGAGTATAATACCAAATACCAATAATAAAGTTTTTGTCACGACAAACACTAAATCTGATTGCTCGTCAATCTATTAAGCAACCATTTTAAACATTAATACTGTTATATAATCAATGGTAATCATTTCGGCCAGAGGCGCATCTAAAATTTTCTCGAGAGGGGATTTCAAGAAGGTATAGAACATTTTGACCTATTTCTCTAGATCGACCTAAATTAACTTCCGTGTTTTGGGCTATATTTTAGCTCTCCCAAAACCACAGAAAAACCCTATTTGACTGAACCTTTTGCACCGCTGGCAATAAAAAAGTTTTAGGCACTTTTTGGAAGTTTTAACCAACAAATCTTGATTTTTTGGGCGTCGAAGGAGCCTTTAGAAAACTTTGGAGTCGGTCTGCCAACAATTGATGTCGCCAAAAAGTACCAAATGGGGAGCTCTTTGCGTAATCAGCAGGTCGAGTCCACTAGGAAAAAGGCGTCCGTTTCCCTTTTCCCCCAAAATAATCTGCACCTCATTAACCCGCACCTCAAGCCAGAAATTTTTGAAAGTGCATATAAGAACTCATGTTGTTTTAGCGACTAGCACTGGCAGTACGACTGCAACCGAAGATCGGAAGGGCGAGACAAAAGTGTACACCACATCTGGTAAATACAAAGTGACCCAAGTACACTTACTCCGAATAGAACCCAGTTGCTCAGATGCAAGGTTTTTTAAATCTACGTGCGATATTTATATCAAATAATTTTAAAATAAGAATCTATTAGTATAAAAATTGCTTATTAATATATTAACTAATGGAGCGATGTTTGGACAAATGGTGGATGGACAGATACGGATGGAGCGATAATTGGATTTTGAATTGCTAAGCAAGCGATGTTTTCCCAGTGTCTTCACACGGGGATTGAAATTTCATGGGTAAAATCATCAGCTGCCGTAGGATAAATGAACTTTGAAACAATGAGTGGGCAAGTATTTTTTCCCGAAATTTTTCATTGAAAAAACGCAAATACTTCGCTGAATTCAGTTTTAGAAGTAATATGAAGGCGAACTCCAATTTCGACCTGTACGAGCTTTGCTATAACAGAAGCAAAAACAAAAAACGGAAAGTTCTACCGAAAAAACTGCATGATGTGCATGAAGAAGTTGATCGAGGATGGCAATTGTTGAGGTTTTTGTTGAAAACAAAGCTTAAACTTTGAGGCTTAAGCAAAATTCATTGTATTGGTCCAAGTCAACCAGTTTGTGCTTTGTTACTTTATGTTGATTAATTGTAAATTATGTTTTGCAGTTTGACCACGTTGTCCCTAGTTCTTATAACTGATGGGTAAATTCTGGAAAATAACTACTTTGAAGCTGAATTTTGAAATCATTTAAAAAAGAGTTAATTGTTAACTTAAGCAAGGATTGCCCATTACTGTGCATGCTCGGGTTAACCATCCTACAAAATCACCCCTATCAAAGAACTTCTTGTAAGATTTGTAGAAAATTTCCGCCATCTTACAATTTTCTTATACGAAAAGTTCTATAATAGTAATTTTTTCCCAAAATTCAAAAAAAAAAACGTTTTTTTTCTTCAAATTTATGCAAAATTTCTACATAGTGGTTAAAGTGCAAACATCTCAAACAAAACCTTCCGAAACGATTTTTTTTTTCAATGAATATCCTATTTGTACTAAATTAGCGGTTTGAAATTATTTTGGAAACAATAAAAATTCAACTTTGACGAACCATGTCATATAGCTGCGGGGGTGTTGTATGTGGTGTTCAAGTATATATCGACAAAATTTTTAGTTATCAGCAAAAAACTAACTATACAAATTTGGGGGGTTTTTCAGTAAACTAATGAAGCGAAACAAGTCGTTGGGCCTCTGAGTTTCTGCTATTGTACTCTGCGTCAGCAAAGAACTTTTAAACTGGTTAGAAAAAAATTTGAAAAGAATCATGCAAAAACATTTTGAGAAACTTCTGAAAGAGTAAGAAAAGTTCCTATCTTACATTTTCTTCTAAGAAAAGTCACTATCATACAACTTTCTTATAAGAAAAAGTCCCTATTGCTGAAATTTTTAGAGCCTAATTCTGTAAAAGCTGAAAGTTTGTTAAAAAAAAGTTCTAAGATAGCGACTTTGGTCAACCCAGGTGTAGCACGGTATGCTTTGATTGGAACCGTGACCACTCAAAATTAAAAAAAAAAACCATAAAATAGCGAGTTCGCAAAACTTACGGAAAGCTACAACACGTTAGTTTTTTTATTCGTTTGAAATGGGGCTGTGGAATGTTGCTACCGCTTGCTCCACAGCGCGCACATTCTGTACGAGTGGTATATTGGGGTGATCAGAGTTTGCCGCTACTTTGGATTGTTTTCTTTGGTAATTTAAGAAAAAACAAGACCAAACTGTCCAATCAACTGAATTTTACGGCTGCCCTTCAAAGTTGATAAAAAAAGCTCTTTACTTAAACATCATTGACAAAATTGTTTTTCCATATTTTGAAAACTTCGAAAGCTTCAAAACCATGTTGCGTACGTTGCGCTATTAAAAGGAGCGAATTGCTAGCTCCACTTCAATTTGTAACATAATTAAATGAGCTAAACTGAAGGTTTTAGATGTCAAAGTAAATTGCACGTTAATTAGCCCAATTTGAATAACAGAAGTCAAATTCTTCCGAATTTCAGAAGAGTTCCCATAACTTAAAAAAAATAGCCGCAGGTGATTTTTCAAACTTTTTTTGAGCTTTGGACAGCAATATATTTCAGATGGTTTATGCTATTCAAAACATGATGACATTATACCAAAAAGAAAAAAATAGATCAGAAATAGTTTTTTCTGCATCTGCATTCATAATTGTTTGAATTGGTTGGGTAGCCAATAATGCGCATCAGTTGTTGTACAGAGTGAGATCAACTTTTTGTTTTTGTTTGCATTGCGAACCAACATTCAAAAAAATTTTGAGGTGGAGCACGCGCCGAAAAATTGCAATTTTCTGGTCAATTTTTTCCGAAAAGTGCCCCAAAAACAACTTTTTGGTAAGTTTTTTTTTTCAAAATTTGCCTTCGGCGCTAAATTATTGTTCAAATAGGGTCTTAATAGTGTTCTGGGAGTGCTCGAAAAGTCAACTTGGTCGAGATAAAAAGGTGAGAAATTTTCGAAAAAAATCCTTGCGAAAATCCTAGAACCGCCCCTGCTTCAAATAGCACCATTCTTCACCACTTTTTATGACTTTTCGTTTTTCTATTCGAGAAAATCTGGTTGAAATTTTTTGCTTTTCAAGTTAAATTTCAACAAAGAGCGCGTAATTTCTGTTCGATAAGCATCTTCAACCTGTAAAAAATATATGCTTAACTACATTGCCTGAAAAAATTTAGTACAAAATACAAGTTAATCGGCTGTTGGATTCTAAACTTGCAAACTTACAAAATCATTCAATTTTTACTGGTCTTGAGAAAATACTTATGAGAATCAAACACGTTTTTACTTTCATTCAAGCTGAAGATTAAAAAATGCTAAAAGAGCCAAACAAGGTCGATACATTGGGTGGCCAGAGCCAACAAGGTTCAATATACGGGTCGGGTAGACCAGGTTGGTAAAGCTCACTTAGAGTCAATCAGAGTCACTCAGAGTCAATCAGAGTCACTCAGAGTCAATCAGAGCCATTGTTATCACAATCAACGTTTTATCTATTCCTCAAAACAGTTGATACGAAAGGTTTTGCTGATTGCTGTAAATTGAAAAAAAAACAGTTCGCTCCTTTATGTGAACAGGAAGATATTGAAGATATTTATCACAAATAATTGAAGTATTCCTGTGGTATTTCAAATAAAACTCATAAAAATGATTTATTGATATGTACTTTCGTTTTGCTCAAAAATATAACGAAACATTGTGCATAACTTAAAAAACAAAATGGAAACACTTGCTAGTTCAATTTCATATCTTGATCGGTGCTGTGCGACTGAGAAAAACAGCCAATATATTTTTCTTGATTTACTCGACCAAGGTCTTTTCTTAAGTCGAACCGTCAGTTTTTCATTTTCCATCACAAAAACCGTGCCGCCTTTTTTTAAGTTGCGGCAATAGCTTTTTTTAAACTTAAGTCGCGACGTCAGTTTTTCCTTAAATTGCGCAGCCGTTTTTTTTTGAGTCGCGCAGCCAATCGCGCTTGAGTTGCAATTTTCGTAACATTACGAGACCAAAATGTGTATTTGTGAATTGTAAGGGGATTCCGCAACACGGCGAAAACAGATTTGTCGGAAAATCTGGACCATTGCTTTTTTTTACCTTCTTTGGATTTTTATTCCATGATCAAATAACTAAAAAACTTTATTGCTCCTGTTTTCCGAAATGATGCAACTGCACTTATCGCAACATTTTCCATTTATTCGAGAAATTGATAGACAGTGTTTCGTTTCTTTTAAGTTTTAATTGACAGTGAACTTATCCACAGAAAAACTAAAACTTGCTCTAGAGTAAAAAAAAAACTGCTCGTATCAGGTCAAAACCTTGTATGTTCCGACTGCCGTTTAAGGTCTATGGAGCAGTAAAAACATAAAAAATTAACAATAAAAAATAAAACATTTTTTTGTTCCGACTTTCGATACGAAAGTAACGGAATATTTGTGCTCGGGGTGGGTTTTTTTTTCTTCAGACAGATTTCGACTTTGTAACTAGCCATTTTTGACGGAATTTTCATATCATTTTTATATCATTCAAAAGGTATTGTTGTCCTGAGCTTAATTTTGAAAAGATATTTTACCTGTGATCATTTTTCTTAAAGTTATGGGGGTTTAAAGATTGCCAATTTGGCCAATTTGGGACAATTAACGCGCGATATATTTCGCGCTATTAACGCGTAAGCGGAGATTTAATCCGTCTTAGAAAGCGTTCCAAATTGGTTGGAAGAAGCTTCTTTGCCATAATTGATTTGTTACAAGGAGCGAAATCTATCCTTTTGTACTTTATATGGCGTGTGGGGAGATGATTTTCGTTTAAAAAATTTCAAATTTTAGAAAAAAAATTTTTCATTTCATTTTATTACATTTTATGTTTATAGGTTATTACTGCTCCTTAAACGTTAAAAGGCAGTCGGAACATTCAGGACGTCGCCCTGATACGAGCAGTCTTGTTTAATTTCAGATTCTTGCGAAAATCATCTCCCCACACGCCATAAAATGTACAAAGTGATAGATTTCGCTTCTAATAATAAATAAATTATGGCAAATAAGCTTCCTTCAACCAGTTTAGAACGATTTCCTAGTCGGATTAATTCTCCGCTTACGCGTTAATAGCGTCAATATATCGCGCGTTAATTATCCCAAATTGGCCAAAATGGCAATATTTAAACCCCTATAAGTTTACTAAAAATGATTACAAGTGAAATATATTTTAAATTTCAAGCTCAGACAGCATTACTTCTTAAAAGATATTTTAAAAATTCCGTCAAAAAAATGGCAGCTAAAAAGTCGAAATTTGTTTGAATAAAAAATGCAACCCGAACACAAATATTCCGTTACTTCGTCACGAAAGTCATGAAAATAATTCATGAAAAGTTGTTCGGATTGAAGCAAAACTTAGCAATCCAAACTCCTTTGGAAACATGGAAAATGTTTTTTTTTATTGCTGCAAAAACTATTGCGGTCAGAAATTTCAGTGCTAAATGCACAGAAACCGAATAATCTTGTAATTCATTTTTTTCTATTTTTTTTTTGCAGAAAAACAGAAAAATCAATGGTTGTCTATTAAGATATCATATGAAAGCCCTTCCAGTCATTTTCGATCTATGTTCAACTTTACCAAAAAGTGGAAAAAACCGACTTCAAAATTTTAGTTTTCTTATGCGAAAGTAGATTAAGCGAAGTCAGTGTGGAGGAACTGTAAATCAAACTTTAAAAAGAAGATTTTTCAATCGTTTAAAGATAACTGCAGTTAATTATAACCATAGTTAATGTTCTTATACTACATAATTCCTGTCCAATATTTTCAGATACCAAAAAATAGCAAGTTAACGAAACTTTGCTTCTTGTTGTTCCGACTTTCGATACGAAAGTAACGGAATATTTGTGCTCGGGGTGGGTTTTTTTTTCTTCAGACAAATTTCGACTTTTTAACTAGCCATTTTTGACGGAATTTTTTATATCATTCGAAAGGTATTGTTGTCCTGAGCTCAAATTTGAAAAGATATTTTACCTGTGATCATTTTTCGTAAAGTTACGGGGGTTTAAATATTGCCATTTTGGCCAATTTGAGACAATTAACGCGCGATATATTTCGCGGTATTAACGCGTAAGCGGAGAGTTAATCCGTCTTAGAAATCGTTCCAAATTGGTTAAAAGAAGCCTATTTGCTGTAATTGGTTTGTTACAAGGAGCAAAATCTATC